AAGGTCGGTGACCTTAAGTACGCTTCCTCAAGCGCTAAGCTACGGCAGCCCCGCTGCACAGTTAATGTTGCGATATGGACAATATCGTATCTGCAATTTTTATCGAATGCCTTCAAAACCTTTGCCATTTCTTGCATATTATAAACCGCGCATAGCTGTACGACATCCACGAGTCCATAAATTTATTCTTTGTTTACTGGAATCATTAATCTAGACGACATAAAGCTTCATCTCAATTTAAAGCGCCGCTCTTCATAAGCCTATGCTCAATGCCCATGATCTCCATGATGTACAATTAAACTCGATTTTTATCCTTCTAAGCGTAGTGCACCGCCTGCAATCGAATATTTCCCCAAGTGGAGTTTATCGGCTGATCGACTCTGCGTCTGAGCTCGACCTTTTGGGATTCTCAATAAAAGGCCAGGGACTTTCAAGTTTGACCTACGGTTACCAACCAGACAGCAATTGTGACATCGCCTAACTTGTGTAATATGATAAGAACGGTATCTTGTGTAAGTTCACAATGCTTAGTCAGTTCATTTATTAGAATACAAAACTGTAAATTTGGACGAACTCCCCCAACGCAAACGCGGGCTGTTCGACCCATGCCAGAATTTATTCGAAATAGTATAACGTACAATTCTTGAAGCACTGAATTCAAATATATCTACTCTCAAAGTGGCAGAGCCGGCAAGACCTTTAGTTACGGTAGAGGCTATCAGTCCCGCTCTTGTTTGGAGCAACCTTTGTGCATTTGGCAGCGCGGACTTGCAGAGTCCCCGTTTTCTCCATATGCAGTTTGGCTAGAATCCATTGACTCTATCGAGCTCATACGAATTCGTATTTCCCATCAAATCCATTTTTACCTAATACTAAGTCATGGATCGCATTCGATGTAGCATTAAACGCTTATTCAGATAGGGCTAAGAATACGTGGTTATATTTGCTTCGAGCCACACAGTCTTCGTAATTACGACATTCGCCAAAAGTAGTCACGGCTGTATGAAGTATCAGCTTTGGTTGTAATATAACAACTTTTTGCCAACTTGACAGGAAAATTAGACCTTTTACCACACGCTGTTGCCAAATTAGGTGGTAAGAAACTTGCAGCATCAATGACTTTTTGCGTTTTAACGCTAGTTTATCGAGGGACTACACGTTGTCAATGTTCATACCCAACCTCCAATATTGGTAGTTGTCAGCGCGACTGGTATTTGATCTGCGAGTAACAAGGCATATCTGGTCATTTGTACTGATAAATGTCTTCCTGCTTAACAGAAGCACGGCCTTGGTCTATAGAGCTGTGTAAAGACTGTTTTTTATGCCGAATTGTAATTCTATGGGAAGTACCTTTACAGTGCAAGTGTGGAAAACATTTATGAATGGTAACCGATTTTGAGCCTTGTGTTGCCAGTTTACTGTCTCTAACGGACCTGCTCGAAAAAAAAACATATATCAAGCGTGCCTGCTAGATCTAGTTTGATAGGTGGAACTATATATTCCATCTGAACGAAAGTAGAGTCTTCTCACGGCTCAGCTGTACGAACGCTACTTAGTTCACCAAAGTTACCGAGCCCGTATCGTGTGCATCGGCCAACGCGACGAATCTTTCTCTGTATGATACGACTGGCATCATTTTTACACCGGTTGGCATGTGTCATATACACAACGACTGAGTTTTAAATTAATTGTAGTTTCTGCGATTCGGAAGCATGATGTGCTCACATGTCTATCTCGGTACAGAAATACTCACTTTACAAGCTCCTGACATCAGTTAGTTCTAAAGGGCTAGCGCGATCGGTGAGCAAAATCTCAAAGCAATTTTCGTTTGCCTACATACCTCCAAGACCGTCACCACAATCGTTGTGTATGGACCATCGACTTACACAGGGCTATTTTGAGTGAATTTGCTTCTTTTTAGCGTAGTGTCACTTCTTTTGATGGAAAGACGAATAGAGTCGTGTCTTGAAAAATTTTCGGGATAGGTAAAGATCTGGCCCTGTTCAAGACAGAGGAAAATTACCTACGCTCCGCATATTCAATCTAGGATGTCTTGCGCAAGTAAATAGCACAACACACGCCATATCCGTAAGCGAAGCACTTATATCATATGTATTACTCCTCGTCAAATCTCGCAAATATTCGCAATGCGTAATTAAGCTTATCACGTTTAAGCTCAATTATTAGATACTCGTCATAGTTGGATAGAAATGGCAGATTATGCTCAAAAGGCGAGGGATTCTTTTGCCGATAAGTCGACATAGGCTCTTCTGGGAAAGCCGACTGTTAGCATCGTCATAGAGGTATCTATCTAGGTGCCTCTCGCACCAATATTAATCATTCCTACCCAACCTTGAAGAAGCGGTGATCAATATCGATCACCTGCCTTGAAACGAAGAATTCGTGTCAAATGCTAGGCACAATGGTCGGTTGGAATGCGAAGGCAGGTAGCGCTTTGATCCAGCCACAGGCAGAAGACCTTATAGGCTGAAGAAAATGATCAATTTGCTGCTGGATAGCACCCCGATCTCCGCAGATTCACATCTCTTAGAGTGCCGATCTCAACGCCTCGCGTGTCTCCTTCTCTTTCGGTCGAAGGATTCGAAGGGCCGAGCTCCCACGCATGATCGACCCGCAACACACTTGTGGGCAACTATCAAATCCGGGCAGACCACACTATCCTTGCAGCGGGCTGCCGTAGTGTTGTGCTTGTAGAAAGCGTAATTTAGATTACCGATCTTTCGCTCTATACTGAGAACAAGTACGAGTTAGCAAATCGCAATCCGCTTACTCCGAAAGTAATTATTGCCCTAACCCAAGGCTAATAACTCTTCCATTTACCATCCAAAACAGATTTTTATTTATTTATATCTGCGGCAAAGCCGCCTTATTTAAAATGTATAGATTTTTCCAAATATATACAGTGAAATCTAAATAAACTACTGGCTACCTAGCCACATACCGTATTCTTGTTTGGGTGCAGTCACACCATGCCCATCTCGTGTGACACACATCCCTGTTACCAGGGTACGTGTAACCCCGTTACGATCCTACTGGGAAAGACTGCAGTCCTGCTGTACCCCATGGTGGTCGAGGCCAAGCGGACCTAGCCAATAAGGGCCGAGCTTCTGTAAAGAAGAAGGGTAGATATCCAAGAAGTATTGGCTATCATCGTCGATATTTTTTCTTTATATGGCCATGAACAACCCTTGTAGATAGGGTCATCATGCAAATAAATCCGACACTCGAATATCCGTGCCTCTTGCGGTGTTAACACGTCAAAAGGCTCGTGTGAGCTTCCTCAGTTACTGAGGAGTTTAACAGCGTAAAACGGTTTTGGTCTTAGACTCGGCTTCAATTTATGATTCCATCCTTGGTATTGCTCGTAAGAAAATCACATGTTCTCTGGATCGACTGTAAGTAGAAAAGTTTAGGTGCTAAGCCTTTCTTTCTCCTTGTGATTTTTGACGAGTCATGAATCCATCCCGCTTGAACGTAGAAGCGCTTTTGGCACGGGCGCGAAGCTTCATGCAGATCTTGGTGTTATCTGAAGTATCTCACAACAACGCTACCAAGGGTTTCGATATGGCAGAGTGGCTGTGAGGCGCGGTCTTCAGATATGGAAATTAGCGGCGTATACTGCGTTTTTTAGTGTATTTTGGACGGTTTTTATTGAAGCAAACTTGGGTTCTGGTTGTTTATGGCCTTGAGATAGTAAATCTGGATTTGTGGATTGACGTTTGCGCAACCCAATAATTTTAACTGCGCCTTACGATTATACTTGGGTTGGTGTATGTATAAGTTTTTGTTTTGCGAAGTTGTGCGTCTATAGAATTGATTCTCGGTAAAGAAGAGAAGAATCTTTCAGAGGACGTGTGAAGTATATCGCCAACATGACCCACACTTTAAACTACCAGACACTGATCAAGGCTGCTCAACTACTTGGTTTGCTATGCAAAAATACTCTGCTATAATTTAAGAGGCTAATGCGGCGGATTTCGGATCGCTAAAGAAACTGACGAAGACGGACATATGACCGTCTACAAGTTTAAGTCGCATTCTCTCACGAGATTTCATACATTTTATCTTCAAATTCCGCGAAGCAGCCACTAGTAGCATCAGGGACACACCAAAAAAATTGCAGGACACAAAAAGCGTGAAGCTTGTAAACGGAGTAAAATTGAGGTAGTCGAACGATGCGAACGTTGCTGTCAATAAAAGCGAAAAGAAGTCCGTGACAGCATTATTCAAGATGGATTCTTGTTGACAAGCTCTGGAACTTAATGTCAAATGTTCACAATTAGGTATGAGTCGAGCGAAATTGTCACAAGTGTGAAGTTTATATGTGACTATGCGACGGAAAAGACATTGATTCTTGTGCTCTAGATGTATGTACGTCTTACGATGTCGCTACAATCCATAGATGTTCAACTTCTGAATAGCACGACGGAATGGACCGTGGGTTGGTTCTTTTGGCGCCGACTTTATGAAGTCTACAAAGACGGAATATCAATTGTAATCTGCCATCCATTTAATGTATGAAATTTGAATCTATTATGACCCCGTCGTGAGACATTATGGATTCAGCTTCAAGCAACCCATTCACGTACTGAGTAATCTAACGCCAAGAGATTGCATATGCTTTTGATATGATGTTCACTCAACTTTTCTCTGATGTTTAACATATCAAATGGTTGCCTTCGAAATATTGCATATGACAAGATGAGAGGCTAATGAGCGATTTCTACCGTAAGTATATTTGATTTCAAATAAAAAACCATTTACACTTAGCGCAGAGCCACACCAAATTCTGACCTCGAGATCTGAGCTAAAGTCGGACGCATACGCTTGAAGGCAGGTGCCAAATAGACCTTTTCCCCATATTTGAGAACAATACTTTAGTTTGAAGCCCTGGCGCTTCTGAGGCCATATGTGCTCTAGGACGAACAGCACCCCATCGACTCTCACTAAATGCACATAAAGTGGTCGCGTTGCTGCAGAATACCATGCATAGATAGTTACGCGATGGACACATGACGACAACGTCAAGTACTCGACGTGTTGCCGATTGCAACAACTCGATGACTGATCTGTGCAAAGTTGAAGGGAATGATTCTAATCATTGGTGAGACTTCCTATTGGCTGTGCAATCCATTTGGGCTGTGGCATAGTGTGCTACTAGACATCAACAACCTCATGAACGACCCAACTAGGCTTTCATATACCGACTCTATAGGCTTTATACATGATAGCACGCGTACCTCTGACGACAGCCGTCTCGCTGAATCCTACGGAACCATTGCTGCTCTGCTCTATGAGACATGCGAAAATGCGGAATATTTATGTCTTCTTTGAGTAATCAATGAAGACAACATTCAAACAGAGGTAATATCTCTAGACTCGAATCATGTGGATGCCTGATCTCGAGCAGATAGTTGTAGGTCCAGATTACTAGTGACTAATTTGGCTGGCGTTTACTTAGCTGGGCTAGCCATTTTTTATCACAATGACACAACACCATGAAAGTAATAAATCTTTTTCTATCGAGTTGCGCCCAAGTTTTTTAATGCATATTGCTTTTCAAATAAATCATGGTTTATTCAAGAAACAGGTAGAAAAAACCTGTAGAATGTAGCTGTATTGTCGTTAAGTCGATCGTGTTATGTTTGCTACATAATGTTTTACAAACAGTGCACAAAACCCAACATTTCACACTTTAGCTAAGGCACAACAATTGGTATGGGGAGTGGAGATCGCCTCGCCATGCCGCGCTTCTTTCGCGAGACCACAAGGGAGCATCAAACACCTGAAATATCTGCATCTCCCTCTTCTTCAACCTCTTCGCCGCCATCATCACCCAGTGAGGGCGAGGTAGAGCACTCAATGGTTGAGGAGCTTCAACGACGTAAGGCAGCATTCTTAGCGCACTTCAAAAGCAATAGTGCACCGATCTCGAGTGGTGATGATGGCGCAAAGACAACTCCGTCAGAATCCTGTAGCACACGCTCGCTGGATAGCTGGATGGGCCCGCATAGTGCAGACCATAAATGTCATGTGTGCAATACTCCACTTCGACTCTTACGGCTTCGAGTGGGTTCATTAAAGTTGATAGATTCTGTTCTGGTATAAAAACTAACGATGTCGTATGATACATTATGGTATGCAGCACCGATGTCGGAATTGCGGAGAGGCAGTGTGCGGCGTGCATAGCAAGAATCAAGTGCCCCTACCTCATTTAGGCATCATGAAAGAGGTGCGAGTTTGTGACTTGTGCACGAGGCAGTTAGTGCAACGTCGCGCTGGTTATCGTAGTCCTAGGAGGCTGGGACAGAATTCGAATCCAAGTTTTCTCGGCGATCGAGAGAGCGATTCAGAAATGTCACCCGTGGCCAGAGAGAAGATGGTGGCGGCTCAGTCACTTCCATCAGCAGAGAAGGAAACGATGATTTTGTCGGATGGTGCTACAAATGTCATTGATTCAATGGATAATCGAGGAAGTTTTCACTTGAATTCTCTTGGTGGTGGATTGACGAGTAATAGTGCCAATGCAATGCCTGGTATCTTGTACAGCTGCTTGTTAGAAGAACAGGACAATAAAATGGACGAGATTTTGTACCTTGGAACATTTACTATGGGTGGACGATCCCTTGCAAGCCGTCGTATGAGTGCAAATGTGGCGTTGTGGAAATGGCGGATTTTTATGCTGACGACGGCAGAGATGCTGTGTTTCAAGGCGACAGGGTCGATTCCGGACGATGATTCGACTTTTATGTCGGCCATGGCGCTAGGTGAAGTGCGGTCGACTGTTCATCTGTCGGATATCTTGCATATTGAAGTAAATGACCAATTTCCGCGTATTCTTACTGTTATCCGCTCCGATGGTCGAGTGTTTCGTGTGCGAGCGCGTACACCAGAGCAGTGTACGGAAATTGCTACCACTCTACGTATAGCCATGCAACACTTTCAAGACGCGCTTTTTAAGCTGCAACGTGGTCCACGACCTGAAGATAATGCGATCAGTTGTGTAACTGTCCAGCACGAATCATCTTTACCTGAGTGTGTCGTTGCGAGCAATCCAGCTGTCAGAGAAGTGATCGAAGTGGAGATGTATCCGTCGAGCATTCTTCGATTTTACGTATGTGGTCCGTCAGCTAGTGGCACGGCACAGTTTTCGCGCGAGATGTTGACCAGTGGCTCAAAGGAAGGCTCGCCCATCACGGTTGAGGCTGAACCATTGGAAAATGGACCTCGAGACGACAATATACTTCATGTAGCAGTTCGAGTGGAGAAGACTCGCGGTCGATTGGAAGTTGCTGAAGAGAATCGACGTTTCTGGGGTCTGACCTCTTTTCTGGCAGCTGTAGCCGCAGTGATGAATTCGATGGATAAAGGCTCGTTTGAATTGTTGGCCTGGCTGATGGCTCTTGTACTCTTCCTCACCCGATTCCACGAGCAGATAAGCGTTTCACTTGCTACTAGAAGAATATCATGGGCGCATCAGTTACAAATTCAGTGTGTCAGCATCACAGTGGGCAAAAGTGAAGGGTCGTTGGAGGAGATAAATGATGACGAAGATGGTAATGATTTTGAGCTGGACAGTCGCTTTGTTGCAGGGTGTGAAGGCGATCTGGATGAAGCAAAGGAGCGTTACACAGCAACATTGAAATGGCGGAAATTAAACGACATCGATACAATATTGCTGCGCCCGTCTCATGCGTTTACACATATGAAGGAGTGTTTCACCCATTTCACACACAAGAAAGATCGACTGGGCCATCCCATTTCGTTTGAATTCTTAGGCGGCCAACGAAAAGCCCTTCATGACTTTACAGCTCGTGGGGTTACGGAAGACGAAGCGATTATGCATCATGTGCGAATGATGGAATTTATGTGGAAAGTAATTGACCCGCGACCATTTCCAGAAGGCAACATGTTAAAAATTTATGATATCAAGGGCATTTCCATGGCGGATTTGTCGAGTGATGTGGTAAATTATACGAAAAGATGGGGCGAGACAGTCGCCAGATATAATCCTGAGCGGGTGTACCAGGTTTTCATTATCAATCCGCCTTCTTGGTTCAACCTCATTTGGAAATTGGTTTCGCCTCTGGTCAATCCTAAAACACGTGAACGAATTCACGTGCTTCGTGGCAACAAGGACATTACCAAAGCTTTGCTGGAATTTGTTGCACCGGAGAATCTTCCTAAGGAGTACGGTGGAGAGTGTCAATGCGAAGGCGGATGCTTTACACATTCTCCTGAAGAAGTTGATATTCGCGAGTGGACCGAATTTGTTAATGCAAATTATCATGGTGACGTTAATGACCCAATCCTCGTCGATGCATTTAAAAAACTATGCGAAAAGTATTACAAACAATTGCCACCCCCAAGCTCCGGCGCCGATGCTGCTTCTGGAACAACGCTGCAAATTTAAATAATTATTCACATAGCTACCCATTCAATCAGCGTGTAGGCCGTACAATTAGCCTAATTTGCGCTTGATCAAATAATAACTAATTGCTGTCGTCGCTGTATTGCAAATGCGTGAGATCAACTAGATGTCGGAGGGTTGGGCGTCTATATGGGAGTATAAAATGTTAGGGCTGTAACGTTTGAGCTTCAGCAGGCACCACCTACCCGTGAGGACAATTCCATGGCTGGTCCAGCTCGGAAAGATTTCGAACGATCTGCAATAAAAGAAGAGAGGGATAATAAGATGTTGACAGCAGCAATATAATCTCTGATATTTTCGCACTTTTTGCATGTCCTCCTTGTGAAGAGCCGTGCCAATCATAATTGAACTTCGGCATGCTCGAGAAGCGAACGTTGCCATCAGTTTAGGCAAGCGGATAGAATCAGGATTCAAAGGCGCGTCTATAAGCAGCGATACCAGCTCGCGAATATCTACAAATGAGGCGCAAACATGTGCAGCCAATTAGTGAGATTCAATTCTACAAATTGAGGTGACAATTACCTTCAGAGTCGAACTGCGTGTGCTTCGTAAAAGGCAACGATACCAGCTTCAACTTCTTTGTCGCTGGCGCAGCCTTGTTCACTAAGAAAGTAAAGCCATTCTTCGCGAATACATTCAGATGATCCAGGATGATTAATTCTTCACCAGCTGTCATCTCCAGCATCAGTGGACGGACAAGTGGTTGCTGATGTATCACTGTGGTTTGTTGTAATGTTTCGTAGTTATACTTTTCATCACTAGCATGCTGATCGATAATGAACAAGTCATTGTCCAGTTTGGCAATAATGAAGCCAAGGTTGAACTGGCCAAGAACTTTCATTCGCTTGAAATCATCTTTCTTGATCACGCGTTGTAATGCTGCTGCTGCAGCCTCATTATCTACTGAAAGCATATTAGCACCGACAGAAGCTGAGCACACTTTTGGCACCTTCAGACGATTTATCAGTCGTTCTCGCTCATATTCCACCTCTTCTTCGAAATATTGTTGTCGTTGCTGCATCATTTCCTGGAATGACCACAAATGCTTTTCAGACGTGCAAGAGGTTGGCTGCGAAGGGACTGGGGAATAAAGCTTTCGTCTTTTGGCAGGCTGTTGAGTGTCTAAGCGGATCGGTTTTGAGGATAAACTGTGAGAGGCAGCCGGCCTCTTCGATGTCGAAGCTTGCTTAAGATCTACGACTGGTTTGGTTTTGCATGTGGGCTTATCAGTTGCAGCATCTGTGCTTGTGCTCTGGTTTTTCCCAAGCTGATTATCCTTGACGATGACGTGCTCTGATCTTTGCGCGACATTACGATTGTGTGATTTCATTTGATCAATAGATGTCGGCGTGTTTTCAGCGGTCGAACAGCGCTTTAGCTCGCTAGAACTCTCTGTCTCTATTACACGCGATATAGATTCTCTCAACGGCAATTCGCTCAACGGTAATTCGGTCTCAGAGGCTCGGGTGAAAGTTGCAATCAACGGTTGAACAGTCATGACTCCTCGGCTTGGCTCGTAAATCTTGCTTAGACCCGTCTTAAATGCCTCATTTATCTCAGCTTCCTTTACGAATAACGTAATTTATCACATGAAATTGCGAGCTAAGCCCCGACGATGAGAACTGCTAACTAACGTACATGCTTGAGAAACGTCTCGCGTTTGTCCGGTGTAACATTGACGTCGTAATCGCCGAACGGAAGATGAAAGTTGAGTATGCATGCTGGTTTTTGTTTCATTTCGTATGAACGCCAGACTTCATTCAGTGTCTTTATCAGCTATTAACACCGAGTTATTGTCACCATGAATACTTGCAACATTTTTATGAGCTTGATATCAACAAACCTTCGGTAGGTCAAACGGCCGTCCATTTATAAAGCAGAAAAGGCGATCGTTGTCGCAGCGGCCAACACCAGCTCCGACCTTAGAAACGTATCCCTCCACCTTGCGCTCTTGTCTCCTCAACTTCGGTTCGATGCCTGAAGCAAAGAGTCCATGCTTTTCGTCACTGTCAACTTGATCAGCAATATAATCGCGTTCATTCTCATCGCTCAGACTGCAATTTAGCATAAAATCCACGCGCACAAGTGTCCTCAGAAACTTGGTGCCAAACACATTCGCGATGTTATCCCCCATTGTCTGCTGCGCTTGTGTAGCTAGCACGACATTCCTGGTTGCATTTTTTCCCGTGATATTGAACACACACATTTTAACGTTTACGCTGCTCACGGCATATGCCTGCAACACCTTAAGCAGCTTCGCATAATGCCTTTTGATATTTCGCTGAAAGTCTTTGAACCGAACAGGCAGCGGCTGCAAGCAATTGTAGATCTGTCAGCTTAATTCGACAAGTGTGTCAGCTTGATCACCTCATACCTTAAAAAGCTCTTCCACCATAATGGTGGATCCGACAGGTCGCGCTTTCTTCGTTTCCTTTACAAGCATCCCATCCGCGTCGTATTCAAGCAAAACCCCCACCACCTCATTCTGCGTCCTTGTACAAACCTTAAAGCTCCCTGCAAGCTCACATATCGAGCTCAGCGCCTCACCACTGCAGCACAACGAAATTGAGCAATGACTAACTATTCAGTCCTTCTCAAACCACTGCCGCACCGGAAGCCAAAGGATGCAACGGTCTCAATGTCCTCAAAGCTCCTAATTTTGCTTGTATAATGTTTTTGCGCCAGCACCACGTGATTTTCCGGCGCAATACCGACACCGTTGTCACTCACCTCAAAAGCATCGCGCCCGAACTCCTTCAGCTTAACTTCAATTTGCGTCGCACCAGCGTCTAGTGCATTTTCTACTAGCTCTTTTACAGCTGTTGCCAGGTCCACAACTGACTGTCCACTGCAGATGCGCTGCACATCGCGCTTGTCAAGCACGTGAAGCGCCGTGCTAGACGTCGTGGGAGTAGAAGTAGCCATCAATGCAAATGCGCACAAAAATGATTGTTCGCTTGTTTAGAAATCAAGCTCAGAAATGCATAGAATTTCTAAATTTGTTGGTGGACATGGTCCTTAAAAAGCTCGTGGGCACCGCGCAAGACATATGGCGCATGCGGCGCATGCCTGCTCAAGTGCGTGCTAAAGACACGCGGTTGGCATTCACCGACATTATTGTATGCGCTTTTTTTTAATGGATTGATGTATATTACTGATGCATAGCTTTCTATTGTGTAACATTGAAGGGCGACGAAAGTCAAAAGGGCAGATGGCTGCGTACGGGTCCCATCTTACAGCTAATGGACGTTCTAGCTGGCACAATTTCATCGCGCGTATCACTGGGTGCCATTGCGACTATTTCATTTGACCGTGTCGATCTGGTTAAGCCTGTGTATCATGGCGACTTAGTGCGCGTTGAGGGCGAAGTCATAGGTCTTAGTAATTCATCGATGGCGGTGCAGGTCAGTGGTTACCGCCACGATATTCCTACTGGCACATTCCAACACACACACGACGCTATCATTACAATGGTCGCCATCACTCGCTTCGGGCGACCGAGAAAAGGCCTCCCGCAACTATTTGACGCCGATCGAGCCGACTACTGCCTTGAAATGAGGAAGCTAGCCAATCAGCGCAAGGAGCTAGCTAAGCAATGGCAAAATGAGCAGGAAGCTGTGGATAAGCTTCCATTTATTAGAAAGAGCGACATTGTGCGTGGAGAATCAAAGCAAAATTACGTTGCGGTGAGCGAGACAGAGATTGAAGTACGGAACTGGTTCTTGCCTCGCAATCTTAACATCAATGAAACGGTCTTTGGTGGTGACTTGCTCGCGTGGATGGTAAGACACGTGTTTAAAGAGAGCAATTGTTTCGAGGAAATTTTCATTAATTAACTTATTTATTTAGGACCGAGCCGCGCTTTACTGTGCTGAAAACTTCACAAAATCAGAGAAAATGGTTACTATTTCTATGAACCGTGTGCTGTTCAAATTGCCAATTTCGGCATCAGATGTTGTCACGGCGCGTGCTCGTGTAGTCAATGTTCGGTAAGTCGCCAGCAGCTGATTTGCTACTGAAGTGTGCACTAAATTTGTGTGGCTGGTTAAAAGTCGCTTCCGTCTTGAGGTCGAAGTTGAAGTGTTCGTTCACTCTGTTGTGGACGGTGGTGGGCGCAAATCTCATAGCGGGTATGGTGCTACTTTATACTCCATTACCTGATCTAGCCTGCATACCTCACTCCTGCAACTTTTGATGCAATAGCTACTTCACGGTGCTTAATTTGGATGAAAAGAACGCGTTTAAGTTGATTGAAAAAGGTCTGAAGATCGACGAGGATAACCAAAGCGAGATGCGCATCCTTTTGAAAGCCCAAAAACGCCTGGAATTTGCTGAACAAAGCAAAAAACTAAACTCTCTCTTAACATTGGAGCCCCGTTTGTAACTAACAAAGAATTTTAGAACTACATTTCACATAAACCTATAGCTACTTATTTTCGAGTTATAAAATAGAGAGAATAAAAAAAAATGCCCCAACTTTC